AGGGGAGAGAGAGAGAGAGTTTGTAAGTGTGTGTACTTTTTGAGTGAGTAGGTGGACAGACAAACAAGCATCGAGGTATCCTATTGCCTTCTTTTGATTCTGTGTCTGTGTATGCATCTAGACACGTCTGTGAGGGTGATTTGTCTTTTGGGTCATGCAGTATTTTGTGTATAACATTATAGCTCTTGAAATTAAGACACCCACTGTTCTGTTGAACGTTTTATCTTGTCATGCATTTTTGAAGTGGACAATAGAAATGTTTTATCAAAATAAAGCCTCGTTTTTCTGTCTTCCTCATAGAAGTAAGAACGTGTCACATCATTTTGTAGGTGAATGCATCTTCACCATCCACAGTAATTTTGGTAGCAAATGCAATAATGAGTGCAGAGTTTTTGAGTGGAGCCCAGCAAAGGATCCTTGTAGAGAAGCTTCTACAGAGAGTTCAGTGAGCCATGCCTGAGACTCCGAGATGGTGCTTTTTAGGGTTTGATCAACACCCTAGGAGTTGTGGCTTATAACAATGAATTTTGTGCTGATATTTTAGCTAAGAGATGCTAGGTTTTCAGTTTCTATATGGAAAAAGAGAAGCTCAGAAGGGTTTCTTTCTACTTCATAGAAAGGGTTTGATTTCAAGGAATTTCCCTTCAGTACACAGTACTCAGTCCTATAAAACTGAGCCAAGCTTCATCTGATCTGAGATGAATTTGAATCGAATTCTTGTCAAATTTCTGCTTACATGTATCTAAAAGTTCTCATTTTTTGGGCCCAAATCTCTACTTACATAGTCAATTTTCTGTGCTTTGTTATCACATTGATCCGTCCTCAATCCCATTTGAGTATTGTTCATGTTACATATTACATACAGGGATATGATATGGAGAAGTTTTTAGTCGAACCTAATGTTGACGCTTATTGAAAAGTTGCGTCTTATACCATCTCACTTTCAAAAGCGTGGTTTGTATTTTAATTTTATATGTTTTTATATACATTTGATTGAGCTCAATTTTTTATCATTTTTTGTTTTTTCCAAATATATATTTTTTGTATTCTTTATAGGTGTCTAATAGTGAGAAATATGTATTTCCAAAATTTGAGCTTAATCCAGTTGAATCTATTGAACAAAAAATTAAAAATGTACCCGTGTAAAATGTAAAAGTTGTATAATGGAATTATTTCATCATTGTCATTGTATATTTATCTTAACTATTTAAAGTTGTTACACAAATTCTTTTATGTAATCATAAGTTTAAGATTCAACAAAGTTTTGTATTGGTTGCCTACATAATGCAACTCTCTTCATATATTTAGGGGTGGCGACAGGTCGGGTCAAATCCAATCAATCGGGCTTGATCCAAAAATAAACCAGTAAATAAATAAATAAATAAATATATATATATATATATATATATATATATATTATGTGTGTATGTGTATTATTTAAATATTATAATTAAAAATGGTCATTTGTTTAAACATTAACACTAATCGATTCAAGTCCGGATTGGGTTTGCATGGACTTGGATTGATTACCCGACCCACCAGGTCCAATTTTGGACCCATACTTGTACCCAGGTTAGGTTTGGTCCTTGGGTCTAGGTTCATTGCCATCTTGACCTATATCCAGGCTTGGGACTTGCCATGACAGAGTTACCTAGGATTATTAAAGGAAAAAGGTTATATAAGGTTGCAATCTTAAAATATAGAATTACAAATGCACCTAAAAAATCCATCGGAAAAGGTTGTTTTAATATTGAAAAAACCTCTAATTGATCATCTCAACTTAAATATGGAAAAAAAAAAAAACAGATTTTGAGTCTAAAAAATAGTGCATCTTGCAATACATTATCTAGACCGTTCATTTTTAAGATTTTCATATGTTTATATATCTACTTGATTTTAACTATTTTTGAAGTTTAAAATTTTATAATTAGATATGAAATGGATTTTGAGATAATTCAAATAATTTTTTTTACCAAACTTACATGTTATGATAAAATTTGGAAGTGCGCCTTAATTGGATTGTTTAATGTTGCAACCTTATAGAAGCCACACCTTTATTGAAATTCCAATAATTAAATAAGTTTTTTCGAAAGAATATAACGAAACCATTTACCTTTTGTACAACGTAGTCATAAGTAATCTTGACCATTGGATGTGAAATTGAATAGCTGCATTTATTTTATTGACCAAGTTCAAAGTTCAAAAGAAATTTTTTCGAACTTTATGATACATCCAAACTATCAAATTTTACATCGAAACATCCTTGTATCAAAAGTAAATGATCTCATTGTATACCTTCCTTTTTCATAAATTTCTTTTTCTTCTAAATGTTAACTTGCTTTCCATTCTAAGTGATATACAACGGGAGAACCTCAAATAGTCATTTAAACAGATTACAATCGAAGTCCAAGAGTAAGTGAACCGCTGCCCATCAACACTGGTGCTTGACCTCAGGAGTATGGAGACGGCAATAAAAGGGTAACCTTCCACAATTATATAGGGTGTGTATAGCATGCTCCCGTTGGAGCATACTATAGTGTACCATAAACTCTTGGGCGAAATAGATACCCAGGAGGATTTTTTATCTCAAAAATTCAGATCCAAGTATTACTAAATTATTATTTCAAAGAACTAATTTGGATTTTAAATTCTTTAACACATGGATCTTTCCCTCAAAAATTGGATGGATCTCATTCAATAGTGGAATGCTATTTTTCAGGCCTCTGGAGGAAGCGAAAAAATTTGTCTTTGAGATTGGTCACTGCATTCTAGAGGCAAATTTCGGATCTAAAAAACGTCCATTGGGTTTTTCCCGAGGGAGCAAATGGACAATATGCTCAAATAAGAGCATGAAATCTAATTCACTTCTGTTTATTAGAGTCGCCATTCTTTCTTTCTTTTTCCTTTTTTATGACCATCTCCAAGAAATGTCTCTTCCCAAGTTCATACCTTGCCCCTGCCTTCTAAAACTTGAAAAGGAAGAAGTTTATATAAGTGCGAGGTTCTAAACAATCAAATTAGGGCACAGCTCAAAAATTTCACTAGAAGTGATTATTTTTGATGCCACAACATCCTCAAATTGATCATCTCGACCTAAAATGCATGGACAGGAGAGAAAAAATGGATTTCAAGTTTTACAAATAGCTCATCTTGTAATGATACATGTCCAATCTACACTATTTTTAAAGCTTCAAATTTTATTAGATGAAAATATATATTAAGGCTATAGCAAAGATTTCCAGCATTGAAACCACATTTCTCGATATTATTTGAAGGTGTGTTTTGCTTTGATTATTTAGTGCCTTGGCTTTATACAAACCACACCCAAACTTAAAGGGGTTTAGGTAAGGGGTAGGGGGACCCAATGGTCTGCTAGTTAAGCCACAGGGCTCTAAAATCAGGCCCAGCCAGGCTCAACCATACAGGCCCTACTTGGGGGAAGGGGTTGGGGCATCAGTGGTTAGGGCGTTGATCCGTCAACATACACCCCACCCTCCATTCCCATGGTTAAAATGTCAAAAAAAGAAAATGCCGTAGGAAGAGGCTGAACCCGAACATGTTGAGATCTTACAAGCACCAATTCCTTAACATGTAAATCTGTACCAGTTAAAATTATATGGAACATATTAATCAAAGCAAAAGGTCAAAAAGAAATAGTTAAAATAGCATTAATTCAGCTCTAAACATTAAACAAGTATAATGGCGTAGAGATAACTCTTAATTAGCTATTAAGGGGAAAACCATGAGAATTATTTCTCATGAACAAGGGGACTGTAAACAGGGTACCACATGTTTCTTGCAACATAATTCACAATCTCCTCCTGAACCAAACACTAACATATCAGTCAAATAGAGTAATCAAGATAAGCTAAAATTAATAAAAAAATACAAAGAAAATAACAAAATGAAACTTTTAAAGGAAATAACAAAATCAACAATCACCATAGGCAGAGGTGACTGTTAAATTTTTGGCTCGGACTTTTGATGCATGACAATGATGCTAACATAAGTGGCATCTTGGCAATGTTCCCTAGAAACTGAATTATGCATATATGATTTTATGAAAGCACTGTGAAAAAAAGAATAATATTTAATATTTTTTTGTACCTTTGACATAAGTTCAAGCTCTCGAGCTCTGACATCATGGTACCCTTCGGCCAGACCCTCAGCCACAGCTGCCTGAATTACAGCTGCTCCAACTTCTGTTGTGATATGTCGTATACTGAGAAAAAAAACCACATTTGCTATTGTAAGACTTCTATTATGTACACACAAAAGCTTGCTGCGGAAAACTTACATGGCTGGCTCTCTCTCTCTCTCCCATAAGTACAAGCACACAAAAGATAGCTGTCACAAACTAACAATGCTCTGTCTCTCTCACTCACACGTACATAAACACACAGAAGATTTATATTACAAATAACTCTCTCTCTCTCTCTCTCTCTCTCTCTCTCTCTCTCTCTCTCACACACACACACACACGCACACACAAAAGTGCGCATGTGTAGGCTAATTCACAAAGCTGCATTTTATATCTTCTTGGCTAAATGAGGTGAAGATACTTCAATATGTGGTGCAGGGAAGAGTAATACCTCGAAATGGAAGGGAACAGAATCCCCTTTTGGATTTCCTCATCTGTTATATATGATGCAAGACTGTTCAAATGTAATACACATTAGCATCAGAATTTCAGTTTACCGATCATTGTAAGGTTTCACAAATTTCAGAAATAAACAAGTATCCATTGAAGCAAACAATTTTGCACTTGCACTTCCAATCTGGGAACAAAAAGCAATATGGGAAATCAACTAATTTCTTTGGGAATTGAGGAAAGTAAATTAATAAAATGAGAAGAGAGGGAAAAGGAGAGAAGAGAGGGACGGGGGAATTCAAAAGATAAGCTTGACATCATTATTGCTCTAAATTAAAAAGGGCTGGTTTATTCACGGCCAAGTAATTATGTTTTCATTTCATAGCTCATAAAACTAACACATTTGAGAAACTAATAAATCCCATTACAGGTGTTTAACTTTAAAAGCTAAATACTCTTCCTCGAAGGAGCAAATTTAGACACATGTCAAAAACCTATGTTCCAATTGATTATAGGTTAGATTGCTCCTGCCATTGGAGAGTAGTCACCAAAAAGATTCTAATATATACGCACAAAATATAATCATTAAAAAATAATTATTTGTAAAAAGGAAAACACTTAATCTACTTTTGAAATAGTAGCCAAGAAATACCTAAAAGGGATTATTTCAAATATCTTGGATCAATAATCCAGGAGAATGGAGAGATTGAAGAAGATCTCACCCATAAAAGTAGAGTTGGGTGGGCGAAGTAGAGATGTACATCCGGAATTTTATATGATTGCCGCATACCAATGTAATTGAAGAAGTTCTATAGGGTGGCTGTAAGACAGTCATGCTTTATTGGATGGAATATTAGGTGGTCAAGAAACAATATATCCATAAGATGAGTGTAGCTAAGATGAGAATGTTGAGATTGATGAGTGGCAAGACAAAAATGATAGAATTCAGAATGAATATATCCAAGAGAACTTAATAGTGGCTTCAATAGACGATAGGATGAGAGAAAGCAGACTTAAGTAGGTCCATGTGCAATATCGACCTAATATAGCACCAGTTAGGAGGGGCAATTTGGTTCAAGTGGAAAAGTCTAAAAAGACAAAGGAAAAAAGCCAAAAGTACTGAGAAAAGATATGGTGACTTATGGCCTGACTGAAGGTAACGCCTTTAATAGAGAAGAATGGCAAAACAACATTCTTGTAGCCACCCCAAATAGTTGGGATAAGGCTTGAATAATGATGAAAAAGTAAAAGATGACAGGAACATTACCGCTCAGCTGCAGCTTGTAGCATGCCATCTGTAATAAAGTGTGCACCGGACAGAAGAGTCCCCAGACCAATCCTACATCATATATAAAATATTGTCACATTAAGCATATTTTTTGGTGATAGAAAAGAAGACGCGAAAAAATGGAAACCCATACTTTCCTTTGTAGTTAAAATTTTGAAAAATTGTAGTCCACCGCCTCATTACTCTCCACTCAAATGATATATAGTAATGGAGAGAGGGTTGATCCACTATTGGGATTGTATCCTCTTGGCGGGTCCAACTCTCTCTCCATCACCATTCAATGTTTCAATGGATGGTCCTAGACCAATATACATTGATTTTTTTTCATATTCCATTTAATTACAACCAGTGAAGAAAAATCCAGTCCCCTAGCCACCTACGCGGCCTGGCCAACAAATGCCTAGGCGGTGGGGTCTGGGCCGGCATGCTCAAGGCAGGTGCCTAGGCAGTCTGAGCACCCACCTAGAGCCATCCCCTAAATAAATTCAAAAAAAAAAAAAGATAATTCAAATCCACCCAAACAAAAATAAGGCCTGGTATTGCCCTTCTCTCTCTCTCTATCTCTCTCTTTCAAGTCCATGTGCTCTCTCTACATATGAGAAAAACAAGAAGAAAAAGATGGACTCCAAGTGTTTGATGCATGGCCTCTCTCGCTCTCTCTCTCTCTCTCTCTCTCTCTCTCTCTCTCATACACACACACACACACATACACGCACGCACAAAGATACATATGGACCCATATGCTCCCTCTTTCCATGTAAGAAGAAGAAAAAGAAGATGGCCTCCACGTATTCAATGAGAGGTACCCCTTTCTCACAGACTCTCTTTCTATCTCCATCTCTCTCTCTCTCGACATATCATATCCTCCAAGTGTTTGAGACCTCTCTCTCACAAATACAGATCCAAAAGAATAAAAAAAAACAAAAAAGATTTAAGTATTTCATTCGAGGCCTCATGCACAAACATACGTGCGCATGCAAACACACAAACTAAACACACACACATACTCACAAAACACATACACACAAAAAAATATATGGCCCCAGCCCCAACCCCTTCCCTTAGAGCTGCCTTTGTGTCCGAGCGCTGTCCGAGCGCCCGCCTTGGTGCCTAGGCGGCCCAGACCCTTTTGAACATTGATTACAACACACTTTTGCAAGGATGCCAAAATCAGTCGCCAGGAAATATAGAGCATATAGAACACATCATACACAAGTTCATACATACCCGGGAAACAAATACATATTATTTGCTTGATTCACATGGCCTACTTTCCCATTTCCTGCATTCCAACAGCCAGTTGCTAAGACCAACTTTTACAAGCAAAAGGCAGAAACAGCGAATTAGAGAAGCTAAATCACTTCACAATCACTTCATAAATGGATGATAAGAACACAAACCAAGTTCAACATTTTCGAAAGGGCTTCCACTAGCAAAAATTATGTTTTCTCCAGCATACTTGAACGCATCGATGGCTGTGCATTCGGCTGTTCTACATAGTAAACAAGCAACACAAGAATGATGGATAAAAGAGCACTTCCATGATCATCTCCTTCACGAAGATGAGCTACTACAGAAAATGTATGGACGGGGTAGGAGGAGAGAACCATTCATGGTTGGATTTGACATAGCGAAGATGGCAGGTCTTGGTGAATCTGACTCTCTCATAGCCCTCAGGACCTGTGAAACAAGAAAAAGAGTGTCGAAAAACATGCCAATCCATAAGAATCTTTTTAATTTTTATACATATGGATTACCTGGTAAAGTACAAGCTTCATACTTAGCCAAAAAAGTATTCTATTTTATAGTGTCAAAATTAATTATATTTCTGTTGCGTATTGCACTTACATGCATTGTTGTCAAATTCGCTTGGGAGTCTTCTTCGATTTGGTGAGAAAAATGAAACAAATCGGTGCTTTGGCCGATTCGGGAGAAGACTTCGGATTTTTAATTTTTAATTTAATATAAATAAACAAGACATTTATATATAAAAATATATAAATATAATGAAAAATTAAAAATAAAAATTTTAAAAAAATAAAGAATACTATATAAGATATTTCTTTGCTTGGGCCGAAGAGGATGAAGCTTCGGTCGAATCTACTCGAAGCATACCCAAATCTGACCAAAGTGGTAGCACCAATATATAAAAATAATGAAAAAAAAAAAAAAAAACTTTTATATAGATATTTCTTTGCTTGGGCCGAAGAGGCCGAAGCTTCAGCCGAATCTACCCAAAGCAAACCTGAATCTAACCGAAGCGGCCCGAATCTGATCGAAGCGGCCCGAATTTGATCGAAGTGGCACACTAGGCCTCACTTCGGTCTAGGTCTAAAATCCAAAGGCTTTGGCCTCTTTGGCTGAAGCAAAACGCATTTGACAACACTGCTTACATGTCTATATTAAACAATTTTAATTCTATTACACGTATTGCACTTATTTTAAATTTCTATGTTATTGTACAAACGTGCAGCCATAGAGCCGCCAGGACATAAGATTCCTAGCTACCTTAAGGTGATGTATTTGCTACTGAATGCTCCATCTCAAGAAGTGAATAAACAAGCACTTTCAAAAATGTAGAAAAGAATCAGCTTCTACGTAATGATATGCAACAAATGTAACGATTTATACACTCAATTCAATATTCCAGCTCCATTGATATGGAAATATGGTGTTTTGTCATTAATATGTTTTTCATAATTGATAAGCTTGAACACATGGTCACTATTATTTGCCGCTCAGAAAGATATGCAACAGGCACTAACCTCCTCATTGAAGATTCCACCAACTCCGGATAACCCTAAAAGCACATGAGGTTTCACCTTTTTTACCTGGTAGTCGATTGAAAGTAAATGAGAACTCAGTTATTTTGAAACTCCTCTCTCTCTCTCTCTCTCTCTCTCTCTCTCTCTCTCACACACACACTACGTACGTTACGTTACGTTACGTTACGTTACGTTCGTTCGTTACGTTACGTTACGTTACGTTAGTTACGTACTACGTAACTAACTAACTA